TGTGTAAAAAATTTTAAAAATATATATATATATATATAACGTAGGGAACTTATTGAGCCAAAAAAAGCTCAGATATGACCAATCACTCAGGCGTTGTACTCTATTCGTTCAATACGGGGACGGTCGGAACGGAGTGTGAAAACAGAAAGAGGTATGGAAGCGACATAGTGGCAGCATAGTGGTTTTGTGCAAATTAGGTAAGTGTTTGTGCCTTTATCGACTAAGCATTCATTATAACAACGACCAAAGTTAACTCTACCGGCATAAAGTGATCGGGGATTTGTGTAAATATATTTGTTGAAAAAAAATGGCTTAGAAATTGCTATGATGTCAATAATAATACCTGGTTTGTTTACTATAGATCGCACATGCGCGGCTAGATGATTAAACTCGTGCTAACGTCTTGTTCATTTTTGGTGCAGTGCGAACCAGCGGTAATAGTTTCTGCAACCATTATAAGTTAAGCTTCACGAGTTTCCTGAAATTATCATTTTGTCTTAATAATTTTATTAATTTATTATTATTATTATTACAAATTTAGACGAAGAACAAAAGTAGATAAAATTTGCTTGTTTCGTATATGTGGTTTAGTTCCAACAGTAGTAAGATAATTACTTTCTTTCTCTGCGCCTATGTGAATGAACACTAACATGTAGACATTATACATACGTATGCATATAATGTAAAAATGAATAAACAAATTGTAGGCATTTTTTTTTTTTCCAATTTGTATAAAATCTAGAAAAGAAATTGAGTGGCAATTGTTACAATTCTATTGACATGTGATATGCACACAACTCAACAGTTGTCAGTATTGTATGTAATTCAAGCTAGTACTGCTGTTAGGAATTAAATGAGGAGCGTATGCAAAAAAAGTTACACAGGACTTTTTAAGTGGTGAGATGAATAATAACAACAATAACAACAACAACAATAACAACAACATTAACAATAATAATCAAACAAGTAAGCAAATGTCTCCAACATGTCACAAAAAGACTGAAATGAATGCCTCCCAGTATTATAAAAAATGCACATGTCTGACGGCCTACACTTACTTACTTCTTACATCTCTTATAATGACAGTTTATGTGTGTGACATTTTATCGCTGCTCAAATACGATTACATAAACATAAACGTATTGCATAATACAAAAAAGTTCAACTTAGTTCTTCAGTAACTTCAGTGTTTTAGTTCAGAGTCTATGACGGCAAGATGTTCTCAACGAAGGCAAGACAAGATATTGAGGCACTGAGATGCGATTGTAATGTTCATTTAGGTTCATTTAGTTTTTTTGAAAAATGTCAAAATATCTTAAAAGAAGAAGAAATTTTGACATCTCTACAGACTGAACGGAAAAGTAACTAATTAAAGAATAAACAGTGAACTGGAATTTTTGAAATTTGTCTTTCAAAAATAATAAATAAATTAAAAAAAAAAAAAATTGTTACGATTGGAGCGTTTTTCCTTTTTTTCTCTTTTATGGGCTAAAGTTACTTTAATGGATTTTTACCTTGTTTCCTGTACAAATAAATCCTTTACACAGATATTTTATGCGACAAATTTCTTATAAAAATGCAAATTTTTATGTATAACAAACCTTTTCGATGAGTTGTTTATTAAGAAGTTTTCATTAGTCTTCCAATGATTCAAATTTAAATAAAAAGTTTATTTAGTTGGAAACAAAAAAAAAAAAAAAAATTGTCTTTAATGAATCAATACATTTTTTCTTTTGTACATAATTTTATATTCAATATATTTTATATTAAACACACACAAAGAAAACAGTAGCTGCGAACGTATCTTTTAGTATCCAACGACTATGGAATACCTCTTAATATTAGGAAAAAAAATTGAAAATAAGATAGCCTATATGACGTCACTTAATACAGTTATTCAATAAGTGACCCTACTTTTAAACGTCGACATATGGGAATTGGTCGAAAAGGTAGCCCAATTAGAACCACTTTCCAGAGTGTTCGCCCTTGGGCTAAAACACATCAATGTATCAAATTTTATCACTTTATCTTAAAAATTTGAAATCTGCAGGTTGAACATAAAGTTAGAGGACATATAGACAGACAAATATTTGAAAATATCATTGAATAATTTTCAATTTATATTGAAGAACAATTACAAATTTTTTGCGTAATTTCGTCGACCACTTTAGCGATACACTCGTATATAATCGTGTAATATGAAATTAGGTTAGGGACTTGACTTAATGATAAAAACTACATCATTATTATGGTAAATAAACATTCATAATTTTACGAAGAAATCCGATACGGACAGATGGACGAATAATGATTAAGCTGATTAAGCTATACCGGTTTTCCTTTGCCTTTCTTTACACGGCTTTATACCTTTAGCTTTCTAAGGGATAGGCTCATATTCGTTGGCCGCATAACTAGAATCACAAACTTTATGCACTTTCTAGTAAGAAGCTAAAGTAATTTTTGATTGAATTTAAAAATCTAGTCGATGTTGGTTGCTGTGCATATTATTCTTCCTTTATAAATTATGTTACGAAATTTTTTTTTTTTTTTTTTTTTTTGATAAAAACGTGCGTTAAACTTGTTCAGTTTATTTGATTTTTATTTGTAAAAACATGCATAAATTTTCATTATTTTTTCCCTTTCATTTTAATTGCTTTTTCTGTTTTCTTGTTGTCTTCCTTTGCGTTCATTCGGTTTTAATTAGGTCCAGTGCTAATTATTTATCAATTTTTTTTTGTTTGGTTAAGGGTGAAAAAAATACATGTTTTGAATATAAAAATAATATTTATTTAATATTCCTTTAAAAATCCCTTGATAATACAACAATTGTTACGTAATAAAATAATTGACATGGATATCAGTTTAATAGAACTTGTATATAAAATAAATGGACATCTGGCAAAAAAGTACACTCACAGCTGATCCACATCCAAGTTTGGAGTGCAGAACTAAGCAAGAGCACTTTTGCAGAGACTTGCCAGCCGATCACAGCAAATGTGCCAAGTTGTTATCAATGAATCATCATATGAAACGTTGGAGATTAAAATTTAATTTAATTACACCATGAGAAATTAGGACAGAGAGAGAGAGAGAGAAAAAAAAAGAGAGAGAAAGAGAGAGAGAGAAAGAGAGATAGAGAGAAAGAGAAAGAAAGAAAGAGAGAGAGAGCGAGAAAGAGAGAGAGAGAGAGAGAGAGAGAGAGAGAGAGAGAGAGAGAGAGAGAGGCACAGGCAGAGAACTGAACCGACGGTAATCAGAGGGAGACAGGTCTGGAGAACGATCACCAATCGCGAACGAAGCTCCGAGGTTAAGTTAAGGATCATTTCTTGGGTTGTTTTTATCAGAGGCGAACGAACGTATGCGCATTTTCTCGATTCGAAGATGAAAATTCTTTGCCTTCTAACCATTGCACAGCCTACTACATTTTCACTAGATGGCAACGTAGTTATTTTCACAGCTTTAGCAGCATTTGACCCATGTCTAAATTACCTAGGCCCAAAATTTCGAAAAAACTGAATGCGTTAAGAAGCAACCAATTCCAATTGCCAAAACATATTTCTCCGCCCAAGTTTGATGAAAAGACGATTTCTATCAGAGCACTTAGGAGTACCAACGTTCAGCGTCATAACACCATTTCGCTTAACTCATTTCAGTAAAAGATGTTGTATGTAAAGTGGCCGAAAAAGTGGTGCTATCTGAACTCTAGTTAATAGCGTTTGTCCTTGGGACGAAACATGTCGGGGTATATCGACTTTCCTGATCAAAATTTCCTAAAAATTGCTAGCTGTAAGCTAAGCACAAGAAAACGATATAGACAGGCAATGAACAGGCAAACTTAGGTCCGATCAGAATCAGTTGGTATAGTAAAAGTTGGATCTATCCCAAGTCCTTCTGGCTTTTGCATACATTTTAACATACAATCGTATCACAAGTAGTATAGACTACGCCCAGTTATATGTTATATAAGATGGTACACTCCTTACCTTATGGTAATGAATGATGTAACAATGTTTACATGCGTCCAATTATGTTCACGATTGTATGTTTTATGAAATGTGCTCTTAGTGTTGATAAGAGAATACCCTCAACAGAGAGAGTATGTTATAAATCTTTCTATATCAAAAACGTTCGCATAATAAGCACGCATTGAATGATGTCATCCTGTGTGTTTGTTAGTACGCGCGTGTCCGGCAAGTGCGTTTTAATTCCAAAAATTCGTTATCATAGTGTAAATTTCTTAAGAGATAAAAATTGTTCCCGCCTTCTTATATAAGAATTAAATTATTTTCCAAAAATATACCGACACTTTATCTTTAACCTAAGCATTTATATGAAATGCTTCTAAGAAAATGTATATAATACAAAGGCCACTTAAAGTAAGAAAAATATCGGGGAAAAAGGATGGAAATGTGCTGCAATTTCCAATCTAGAGGTCACGGTAAACATTTGCATAAGTAAAAAGAATATTTTCCGAAGGTATAAAGAAAAAAAAAAAAAAAAAAAAAGCAAAAAAAAGGTTTTATTCGATTAATGAAACAACATCAGTTTGATTGGGTTATTGTTAATACTTGTTTATCGAATCGTCCTAGATTTCTCTACGTTTGGAGAAATGGGTATAAAATATGGTTGCAGCATACACGCGCACACATACTATAATAACCTGCATACAATATCTATTTGAGTAGAAGTAAGTGCGCTAAACAAGTATGAAGCCTTTTATTTGCTCCATATCGAATAACAAATTTAATAAACCGCTCAGTGCAGAAAAGCAAGAACAACTTAAGTCATTTTTTCCGTTTTTTTTTTTTTTTTTTTAATGCCTCCTTACATTAATGCCTCACGCGAGCGAACTTTCATAAATGAATGTATGTCGAACAGGGCATTTGTACCAGATAAGGGTGACTTCAAAGAAAAGTCAATAAAATTTTTAGACATTTTTTAATTGTTTTTCAAGAAATTTATGCCCTAATAGTCGATAAATATTAATAATATTCCAAGCATATTAAGTGAACAAACTCAGGTTCTTTTAAAACCGAATTAATAGAAAAATTTTATTTTCTTTTTAATAGAAAATTAACTCTAGCGTTAAATTGAAGAGCTGAACAATAAAAAAAAAAAATTTATTTTATTTTTGATTGATTGCAAGATAAAAATCGTAGCCTTTGTCAGAATGGCCATGTGAATGGCATCGATATAGAAAAAATAAGGTTTTTTTTCAACTATTGATACTAATTGCGTGCGGATAGCCTTCGGTTTTCGAAAGTTTCCTCAGCCCGCACTTCATACATAGGTAGATGCTTTTAAAATGTTGTTTAATAGCTTCTCGAAAGGGCAAATGAATTAAAAATCCGTTTTTTTTTTTTTTTTTTAATTTTGTTCATAATTTTCTTCACATTTATTTCAATTCACACACGTAAATAATATTTCGTTTTGAGAAGTCTTCGGGGCGTTATTCACATAATTCTAACGCACTAATTTAATGTCGTGTGTAAAGCAACATTGCTTGCCGTTGGATGCTTGGAAATTCCATTTTACAGTGTAATAATTCAATGGAAATTTACTTTCAATCGGTATATCGATCTGATAGGTTTGCTTTTCGCCATTCTTTACCGGGCATTTCGTGTACTTGCAAGCATCCTTCTCCATCGAAATCAAAGGCAATTCCTGATCGTTACTCTTTACCCAATTCAATGAGGCTTCGAGCGTATCGGCATCGAAATGCGGCGTGAAATCGAAACTCATATTAGCCGGCTTACGGCGTCGAATATTGCAGGCGGCATGCGATTCCGCCTGAGGACAGGGTTCCACACGTACTTCATGTATATCACAATCGTTTGTATCGCATGTTTTAAAATCGATTACTTCGCCCAACGCAACGGCAATCAGTGCCATTAATATTATAGATTTTACCGCAAACATTTCTCGCTATTCTTTCTATGACCGTTCGCAAGCTGTTGTCACTTTAAAATGCTATTGATACTTTGAGAGTTTTCGCCTAAAATACAGAAAAAATATTTTCGCTGTCATTTCTGATTTGACTTTTGAGAGAATTACATTGTTGTGTAGTTGCCGTTTCCTCGTTTGACCTTTCTATGGACCTCTATACGAGCTAAATGCGATAAGCTTATCGCATCAATGTGTGAATATTTTCTTCTTTTTTTTCTTTTTCTTTTTTTTTATATTCAAATCTTTGCCTTTATTTTTTCAATTTTAAATTGTTCCTGCTGTGCCAGTTGTTTGACGTTGTTCTGTTTTTTTGTAATCTATGCTCACGACTTTTTATTTCATTTACGAAATGACTTAGAAAGCTAACGATAAAATAATACATTTCAAAAATTGTCGTAAATATATGAAAGATAAGTGATATAGGACACGTAACTCTTGTTGTGTACCGTAAAAGCGAAGGCGAAAAAATTCAATGAAAAAAAAAAACTAAATAACAAATTGAAATTTTTAATGTTGTTTGCTTGCATGTGCAGTGAACATAGAGAGAGATGCCTTCGATTTGAAATTCACCTGATAAATAACTAGGTGAAGACGAAGATGTTGACCTAAGATGGAGGTCAACATACTGTGTTCAAAAAGTAAAACCAATTTAATTTCTTCTTTTTTTGATTTATTTATTATTTCGAGTCGATTCCGTCGCCTTCACAGTAAGCCTCAAATTCAAATAATACTGCTTGTTTGGTCCGCCGGAAGGAACTCGTAGCGCACGACACCGTAAGGAAACTGTTAACACCACCTCTTTTGAGTGATCGTGGAGCGTTCTTATGGCACTTGCCTTGGAAAACTAATTTTGTGTCATGCAAAACCTTGCGGAACTGAAAAACACATATGGTGTTTATGGTGTGAAATTTGACACAGATTTCGGTCACAGCGCTACCAATTTAGAAAGAAAATATTTCCGATATTCGATCAATTTAACTTGTGTTTTGGTCTTACTATTATATCGTAGTGTTAGATTCAGAGTTCGCTGGCGTATTGAAGAGAATGAGCGTAAAAATAATGCTTATGGGCTATCTAGATAATAGTGGAGAAGGCTCAATACATTTATTTCTAATAATCCTTGTCACGGTGGATGTGTTTTTCCTTATGAGGCTTTGTAAAATCTTTTTTGTTTTTTGTTGACTTCAGAGGTCTTTACGAAGTTAATAAAAATTTTTATTTAAAAATATTTAGCAAAACATATCAATGCTTACTATAACCATTAGTCACACTAATGCCGTATTATTTACTGAGAAACAACTGATAATTATTATAGCAATAATATTATAACTTAAAAAAAAAAAAAAAAAAAAAAAATAGTAACAACACAACATCCACAGCATTTTATTTTAATCACAACAGACATAGATGTGCAGAGCGTCATTAACTAGAAACACAAAAGAATTTAATAATGTTTCGATATTAAGAAGTGCACAGAGACGGAGAGAGAGAGAGAGAGAGAGAGAGAACGAGACAAACTCGTGCAAAGACAGAAAAATGAAATATAATCATAATTTGGCAACAGCTTAAGTTGAAATTTTGTAAAAAAAAAAAAAAAAAAAAAAAAATCTTAAAAGAAACTTCGTATAAAGACAAAAAGAGTAGCGTAGAGCAATGGTTAACGGCTTTACTCGTATAGAGATTAGCCAAAAAGAATTTCATATTCATGCACAATGATAATAATGCGAAATGATTGTCATAATTTTCTAAGACAAGAAGTCATATGACAGTTCTTTTTAAGTGCTACAACACAAATAATGTGACTATGAACTTGCAACAACTGATAGTTATGGAAAAAAAAAGGATGAAAGAGAGGGCATAGGTTGGATTAAAACGGAAGTAGCAGCCATTTGTAATATGACAAAGGAAGTAATTATTATTATTATTATTATTGTGAATCGTTTCGTTTTTTTTTTTTTGTTTTTCATTTCCATTTGTTTATTCAGCCAATAATATAAACTCGCAAACATTACCATGGGCCAGTTGTTTTATAATATCATAGACTAGTACGCGCTGAGTACTTTCAGCGAAGAAGATGTCTATGCTCAACTCGCTTTCATACACACATATACCCACATTAGTTACTATTACTACAATATTATTTTTGTGACCAATTAATTTTTATGCTTTAATGATTATTAACAAGTGATGCAACAATTGTTATATTGTGAAAAAGGGGAAAATATAAAATTAAAATTTGTTATATTTTGTGTGCTCAGGAAGTTTCATATCATTCATAATATTACACATTTGGAGAATTTCTTTTATCTCATCATTCGCCCTCGTTTCTCCTCTTCCTCCTCCTCCTCCTCGTCGTCGTCCTTCAGCTTATTGCTTATGATTTATTCTTATATAGAATAGCTTTTTTTTTTTTTTTTTTTTTTTTTTTTTTTTTAAATTCATTTCAAACGTAACAATTACAATTAAAACCATTTGTCAACATTTTTATTTTTTTAGAGATTACTTTCCATCTTGAAGTCTTCTGGAAAATGTTCCCTTTTTTTTCACATTACAACAATAACAGTAAATATATTTTTATCATTTTGAAAAAAGCCAACCACCACAATTTCTTTAACCTGACGACATTGTTTGCCTTCTTTTATTATTTTTTATTTTTTATTTTATTTTAAAATCGAGATTTTTATCATTTTTTGTTATTGCTCTCGAAAGGACCAAAAATAAAATAAAAATGAAAATCATTGGTTGTTGTGGCATTCTGTCAAATCATATAATAATCATCACAATCATCATACTGCAATTGTCATACACCCGTGTGTTTCGTATAACCGCAATCAACTTTCCGCATTATAATAAAAGCATACTTAGTGTAGATTGAAAATTCTTAACGTAGAGATTGAATAGCATAGACAAATGCTAGCCAACCAGATCACTTTGATTAGTGTTAAGTTAACTAATAGATTTTTTGAAGATTTTATTTGCCTTCTCATAGGAAGAGCATAACCGGAAGAAGTAGAAATATTAGACATTATTTACTTAAAATCTTGATTAGAATTTATTAGTAAAGTCATTACGAGTAGATCAGTATTCAGGATCAGTTATCAGGTGACTTGTCGTACTCATCTATGTTGTTCTCCTTTAGTTAAATTAGGAAAAACAAGTGGAAATATTATAGTGTCCAAGAACCCGCCGTTGAACACCCGTTGATCACTTCACTACGTGTGTTCAAATAAGTTTAAGGGATTTACAAAAGATGGCATTTTTACCATCTGGCAACTATACTCATGTTAAAGCGTCATCATCATCATCTGTTCTAACCATGTCAACTTTTATGCTAACGAAGCACAATAAGCCCGGCCGTGCATCAATATTAACGATCAAACCGAATATTCATGGCAACAGGCAAGTTTCGAGTGATCTACTATTAGTGAGGCTGCTGCCTTTTTTAAGAAATAAGTTGGAATTGTTGTCGTTATTCTGCTTTCTTGTTTATATTTAGACTGATTTCAATTTCATTAGCTTGCTTGAGTTTGTTGTTAAAAAACCAATATCTCGAATTTGTTTATTTATTTATTCTTTAGCGGCTACAATTATCAATATTCTGCCGTATTAAGCAAAACTGTTAAGGTTAGAAGGCTTATATTACGCAATTATAGAGAAAATGATTAGCGCTCTAAAGCACAGCAAAGTAGTTAACAGTCTTAGGGTTAAAGTAAGAAATTTTTTAGAATATTTTTCAAGCATGCGAGTGTTAAGCGATGATCCTATCGCAAGGAATACCAATCAGGAAAAAGTAAAGCAGTAAACGTAAACTAAACAGCATAAGACATTTCAGGCTTAAAGTATTACAAGCGAACACAGGTCTAAATAACTACGGTCTGTGTAGCTGCTCATAAGAAATAATCTATCGCACATTGAGATTCGAATCCGCTACCACTTCGCGACTAGGTAATCGTGAGTCTTATCTCCTGGACGAAACGGTAGTGACTACGTAAAGAGCCGTCTTTAAAAATGTTTGTGCAAGTGAACTTTGGTCATTAAAGGCCTCTTAGGGATTAAAAGTTCTTAGACATTTTCCTGTTTTGCGGTAAGCATATGTATACATTCTTCACATATATATACCTATATATATATATATATATATAAAGTTTACGAAATGCAATGTAGGACATTGACAATAGTATGACGTGAAATGTAATTTAGTTTTGCAATCATTACATACGAAAATATTTGCCAAGCGTCGAAGTATAATTTTTCTTTTTGCCATTTTCCCTTGTAACTTGTACAAAGTGATGGATGCCGTTAAGTAAAGTTTTCGCTTTATTTATTTCACGCTAGTTTTTCTTGTTGTTGTACAAATATGATGAAAGTTTTTTCGAGAGAGAAAGAGTGAGAGAGAGAAAAAAACCACGCAGAAGACAATTTTAATTAAAAATTTTTTCTTATGGCTTTTTTTTACAAAATACATATTTATAAACCTAGATACGTATATATATATATATATATATATTTATATATATGTATTCTTTAACATCTACAGGATGCATAACGAATGAATTTGTAACGAGTTTTCCACTTTGTAGTTTTTTTTTTTTTTTTTTTTTTTGATATTTTCATTAATAGTGTTCATGTCCTGTTCGAGCTCTTCTTTTTATGAATGAGAGCAAAATGGTTAAACAGTTTTTTTTTTTCTCACATTTTTTCTCTCTTCTCCTTTTGGAAATCTTTGTGTTTGTCCTGATGTAATTAAAATGTTTGATGTCATATGATTTGTTTTGTATCCTTTTAACAATTTTATGTTTCGTTTTTCTTTATTTTTTTTTGCTTTTCTTTTTTCATTTTTTTTTAATTTTCATTTCATTATTTTGTATGTATTTATTCTCAGTTATGGTTGATGAATGTAAAAATGAATGAATGGATTTTGTTTTTTTTTTTTTTTCTTCTTTTTTTCATATAATTTCGAGATTAATGTTGATTCATAAAAATCAAAATATTTCAGTTATGTGAAAGAATATTGATGATAAATTAAATTTGAAAAAGCAAAAAAAAAAAAAA